CCCCTCAATACATTCACACCTTCCATTATACTCTCGCAACATATAAAGTAAAGGGTTTGTCTGAAAAGTAATAGGACTGAGTCAGTTTAAAAAAAATTTATTGAACCAATCGTTACAATTTCTTAAAAACTTTCAAAATAGACTCCTCTTGCGTCGATCCAGCGCTGCCAACGCGATTTCCAGGCATTGAAGGCGTCAGGAAGGCACTTTCCGGAATAGCCTTGAGAGCCGAGGTGCATGCTGCTTTTTAGGCAAGGTAAAAAAAGCAAATCCGGGGATGAGGCCCATCTGGGCTGTAGGTCGGCAGAGGAAACGTTGGGATCCAGGCTTTGGTTACGTAACTGTTCACAAGAAAGGTGGTGTTAGCCGATACGTTGTCGTGGTGCAACTTCGAATCGGCTCCGATGTCTTTTCGGGCCTGATTAAACCTTCGTTTGATTTTCTTGAGGACTTCCACGTAAAACTTGGCATTGACGGTTTATCCAGGAGAAATAAATTCCTTTAAGGTCGAAAAATACAATGGTCCGGTCTTCTTCAGCGATCTCTTCCCGGCTTGGTGCCACCGAAACACACTACGTCTTGCTAAAGTAACATTTGGGTAAGCCTGCATGATCACATCAAACGTCTCTGTCGCCGATTTACCGAGTTTCATCCAGAATTTAATCCCATACCTCTGCTCCAACGAACGCTGCCCTTTCGGATTGCACCACTCACAGAAATACGCCGCACGAAAATCTTTGTGCTTGATCCTAGCCAGCTAGGAACGCCCCCTATTCAATCCAGTCGGTGTCCTATTACTTTCCGGACAAATCATGTATCTAGTTATGTTCATCTATCCGTTGTTTGTATGACTTAAAACTAATTGAGTTAAATATCCGCCCGTCTGTGCAAGCTGTAAACTGAGATATTTTAATAAAACTTTACACACAACTTTCTAGGCACCACAAGATTTGCAGATGAGTGGAATTAGACCATTGCCATGTCCCCAAAAAGCCATTAGTTTTTATATATAATATAATTTTGCGTTACGAATCGTATTAAGGAGCGGCGTCTTGATGTATGTAAGATATCTTACGAAAATTGAGTAAACGTATAACAATAGATATACTGTAGTTTAATGATGAAAATGTGTGAAAGCGGTCAAGGAATTATTAATAAAATTGCGTGGAAACACTTAATTAATGTTAACCGTACTCAATATACATTTATTATATGATTCTGGACTTTAATTTAACCTTCAACCGTTTTTATTAGTCAATGCAAGTGATATTTTAATAAAAATTGGTGGAGAAGCTTTCTTAAAAGTATGTTTAGTGCTGAATATGAAGGTTTAGACTTTATCACTTACATATAATATATAGTAATGTATACATACATACATATGTACATATGTACATACATACATAAATACATACATACATACATACATTATGTATGATGCTACAACAACATTATAAGAGTATTAAGAGAACTTATCGTGAAAGCATAATATTTAATAATAAGAGAAATTAGAACAAGCTCTGTTATTTATGCTTAGTGATAAAATAAGAAAATAAAGAAAACCAGTTCTTAATATGACACTGAAGATTGTGTTTCATAAAAGAATATTAATATATACTGATTTGCAATCCTCTGGTTCATTCTCACAGGCCCAATATATTATATATAGCCAATTTCGTTGAGGTTTTCATTTGAGTTAATTAGGTTGATTTGAACCTAAACACCGCGAAAGGTAAGATAAGTTAATAATAATCTATTGACGATTTCGTAAAACAAGGAAACGCTTGTGATCTTAGCGAATTCTGAAAGTAAAAAAAGTTCGGTTATACCCGAACTTGGCTCTTCTGTACTTATTGCCAATTTTAATTTAGAACTGTTACAGAGAAGGACACAGAGCGTGGACCCGAGTACAAGCAACACTTTTGTCTTTCCCTGTGCCTCCATTCCTTATGAAGCTACTGGTTGTCAAAACAAATGTTTTCCCGTCTGAATGGGATTTAAGAGAATAATTAGCGTTGCCCGAGCAACATCGTTGTGTTTTTAATGGTAAAAGAGCACACAATATTGAAAACACATTCTTTAAATAAAAGTGTGCCTGTCAATTGAGTTACAACAACATAAGTGCAAAGATGTTTAACAGAGTAAAAGTTTTTAACTGCATGCACACTTTGAATTTAGGATGTTAAAAAGACAAATCGAGGTCTTCTCACTTTATCCATATACAGTATACATGTATAAATATTACAATTTTTCAATTACAGAAACGAGAAATATTTTTTCCGGTGAAGAATATTCAATTTACATACTTAGGTACATACATATATCGGCAGCAAATAACGATCGTTCACAATTTGAAGTAATATATGGGTATAGTAATACCAATACACCACCAAATTTATAGGATTTATGCAGTTACAAACATTTTTTTTTAACTACTCGACACGTATTCCTTTCCAAATATACACAGTTTTATATGGCATTTACTATGCTATTGTTATTTATATATATATGTTAATATATCTATAAACATATGCACCTATGTATATATGCATATATACTTACATATACATATGTATATTATACATTGTTTTATATATTTTAATTATAGTTTTGGATTGACGGTATTTTGTTATAAAATTAATCTTATTAYCATTTACCTTTACAATAATTCTTATTTATACTTTTACTGTGCGCTTCATTGATTAAAACTAAATAAAAATGCTGTTCTTATACTTTTTATATCGATTTTGTTTGTTCACATAATAACAATAAATCTCATTGTTATTTGTTTAATTGTGGCTGAGTCTATTTACTTTTCCGAATAATCTGCATTGTTGATAGCTCGCAAACATACTATGAATTATGTACACATGTGTGATAATTTCTCGCGAAATGTGCCTACGATATTGATCCTCGTTGGTCACAAATTTATGTCAATTAATTGCTAATAATGATTTATTAAAGACTTTTTTTGCTTGTTTATATTCATTTTCGTTAGTTATTATTGAATCTATTGTTACGAAAACAATTGTATATATGTATGTGTTGGTATATAAAGTCGCATTAGTAACCATAATTCTGCATTTCCGAAGTTTAAAGTCGGTAGTTTTGTGTTACATTGCTCCTTTATTTAGTTCTTAATGTGTCTCTAAGTTGTATTAATAATCATTTACCTTTTGTTTTGCTTGCTCTTGTGTGTGTACTTTTAGTCTAATATTGGGTTTTTTGTGTTGAAGATATAGTATTTTTTTTTAAATTTAAATCAAGTAAATTTTACTATTTTAAATATTGGCTTTCGGTTTCTTTACGTTTTATTTTATTTTAATAAAGTACTTATAATAGGGCTTTACCTAAAAAAACTAAACTTTTGGCAGTTTTTGGTTTAAATATTATTTTGTTTTTTATATATTATATTATCTTCAGTTTATTTCTAACTGTAATAAAATATGATTTATTTATCTATGCAAGTGAAGTTTTTGTTCTTTTGCTTTGGATTAGTCGTACTTGTATATTGATTCATTTACAATGTCAGTGAGTTTGCATGTATGTATGCATATGTATGTATGTGCTGAATTTCAATTCTAACTTATAATGTGYTTATGAGCAATGTATAATCTATTTCATACCATTCAAAAAAAATGCTAAAAGATATTAAAAAATTGGCGACTGAACATTTTAAAGAGAAATGCAAAGCACCTGTTCCATAAGTTATTTCTTTAATCCTCATATTCCAGCCACCGCTCATATGAGCTCCATTGTAAATATTGCTTTAAAACAAATAGACGACAGCGATATTTTCTTGTCTGCAAAAGTCGTCTTGAAGCTAGCTTCAGCTGATGTACACAATTTCCCTGCTGCGGTACTAAAATTGTTCACTTGAATGAAATTTAAGTGTTTTGTTCAAAGTGAAATTTTTTGTACAAAAAATTACAGTCCGATTCTTTTGTTTTAAATTATCAATTGTTATTGCACATGAGACAAGTATATCAGAGGCTATTTCATGCTTCTGTTGGTAAGCTTCTTAGAGCTTTGAATAATACAATTCACATTTTATTGGCAATTTAGATATTTAATAGATGCTCCCTGTTGTGCTGAACACATTGAGCGCGACACGACATGGCAGCACGACAATGAACTGAAAATGGCGTTGTGTCTACATGAACATTTGTGAGAAGGCAACAACATAACAATGCCCGGCATGTACACAAGACAACACCCCTCTCCATTTTACATGGACACAATTTCGTTGTGGCCATACTAACACCTTGCACTTCAATGAAATTTGAATATTTTGTTCAAAGTGAAATTTTTTTACGCAAAAAGTAAGAAAATAGGTAAATTTATTTGTTTTAAATTTTCAATTGTTATTACAAATTATATAATAGAGCTATTTTATGCTTTTATTTGTAAAATAACGTCAGGTTTGTTAGAGCTTTGAATAATTTTACATTTTACATATTAGTGACATCACCACTCTACTTCATCTCTCTACTATCAAGTCTACTGTTGTCCTACTGTCGTTGGCAAATTTAAAACTCTATTGAAGTTGGCGAGAGCGACAACTGTCGGCCTGCAGTCGTGTAGTACGTAGTATTTTAATATTTGACAGATGTCGCTTGCAGTCTGTCACGCTCAATGTGTTCAGCACATGTCCTTGCCGTCCTTTATGTGTTCCATGTAGTTATATGAAGTGTATAGTATACTACAGTCACTTGTATGTAGGGGTGCAATCAACTCTGACGTTCAAAGACTAACTGAGCGCAAAGCTGAAGAAAACGAGAAACAAGCTTCAAAACTATGTGCATACGCGTATTTTCATACGAAATTGCATAGGCACTCGCTTGGTGGACGCTGACCAAAACTGAAGTAGAAGGTGATCGTTTTTCGGGACCGAATCGGGTGATGTATAGTTCATTTGGATGTCTCACATTTTCCTTATTATTTTCGAAGGAAAACTTACGGAATTCCCTAATTCATAAGAATTTATTAAATACCCGATATTTATTTTTTGCCCACAAAACTTTAATTAATTAATTATATTTCTAGTTTTAACTAAAATTATATTCGAGCTAAAACATTTGTGGTTAAAAGAAGCTGTTACGAACAAAAACAGAGCAAAACAAAACAGTATAATAGCAAAGTATGTGCGGAAGTCAACGCTGAATCTTGCATCTACTTTGCTAAAATTAGCGCTGATCGAAATTAGCTGTGCGCTCGGTTCGGCTTTGAGCCTCCACTCTGCAGGCACTTTCACGTAAAACTGGCACCCTAAGTACATACATATGTATATTCTAAACACCAGCATACTATTAAATTTGGGGCAATTTCAAAACAGCTTCAACAAAGGTGTGAATGTCCGGGTTTATATACGGAAACTTTTGTTGCATATGTATTTATACTGTAAATACTCATTCGAATTGAACGCAATTGCAAACACTCAAAGTATTTCAAAACTAAAAGAATGGTACGAGCAAGTCGGCGCCCTTGGGCAGCAAAAGTTGTCTTCTGTAAACGAGCACAACGGACACAAATACATATAAATACATATTTAATATTATAATTGCATATTTGATTACAATTTATTGTTCGAATTTTACACTAAGATATTTCAATGGGAGTTGTACAATGCAAACGGAATCGAACTTATCCGAAAAATATGGGGCTTAATCAAATACAAAGCTATTGATTTTACAAATTTATGTCTTTATATAGTATATAAGTACTTGTACGGGAAAAAATGAGCTGACTGGCTAGGATTATGATTTCTCCTAGTTAAGAAGTACCTTATAACTACTAAAATTCTACTGCCCGAATGATGCAAACTATAACAATGTATGACAAAAAAAAAAACTTTTGATAAATGGACAGAAACAATAAATATATCGCAGGGAAATTCATTTCGAGTATACGAGTACATGTAGCGAATATGTTGGTATGTATGTATATAAACGCCAGTAGAAAGAAGTATTTCATATTTTAAATGTTTTCCTTGTTGCCTAAGAATGTAGGCAACCATCAGGACTTCTGGCAACTACTTTTTCAGTCAAAACTCATAGTGCTTTGAAAACTTTAGTTAAAGAACAAAGTCAGAAATGTGACAAGATGTTCACACTTACGTGGGAAATGTAAAAACTAGTGAAGAGTTGTATGAAAATTAACATAAAATAAAAATCTTACGAATACAGACATCAAACGCTGTTATTTGAAAAGGCAGCACGGGAACTATAATATGACAAGGGGTTGTCGCAGAGTAGACCATGTCCACGGGAACCGCCACCATCGTCGCCACCAATCATTAATATTGAAATTATAGTAGTAAATGATCTGATAATTTTTTTCTGCATTATTAAAATAAAATGTGTCAATGCTATCCTTATTATTAGACTTACAATTGTTTGTGTAATTGCAATAATTTAAGTTTTCTTTCGTTTTCAGATAATTATTTAAATTTGATGTTGTTATTTCAATTACATCATTTTTATGATATTTAGTATAGTCTGTGTTGGTAGCGATATTAAAATTTCTAATTTTACTACTCTTTTTCCTACGATAGATTTTAGTATTACTATTAAAATACAATTGGCTATTTAATCTATAAGTAATTTTATTATTATTTCCTATATTCATCTGAACATAATTATACCTTACATAGCCCCTGTACTTAGTACTACGAATGTAATTCTCATTTAATCGATTTAATACACCATATTCTGTACTGAACGCTGTTTTCTTCCCATTCCATTTACCATTTATAGTTTTATTTACGCTTACTAATCTATTTCGATTTTGATGTCCACTGGATTCTTGATTTCTTTGCTTGATTTCTTTTGAACTTTTACACTTAGTATTGAGGTTTTTCTCAATGCAACAATGTATAAATCTGCCACATTCATGGACGCTACGACTGATGCTACTCGTATTGATTTCGTAAATATCACTACTAATACAGAGTATGGTGGGTTCTGTGAAGTTTTCCAACGAACTGACGGTCCAGGCTATTTTTTGAATTTTTTGTTTTACGGCAGAATGTTCAGCCAAGTAAATGAATTCATTTGTTGCAACTATAGATGAAGAAAGTTTGTACCTCACCCTAGATGGGGAATGTCTGACATAAAAATGCTTTATAAAAATACTCTGCAGTATGTATTTACGCAGCTTTTGATTCGGATGTGTCTGACTTTTTAACTGAATTGCGGCAGTTTGACTCGTCAGCAAACACAGCATTGCGCTGAGCAATAACAGCATGTGGTGTCCACTTACATCTTTTGGTACTGTTTTTTGTTGTAAGCGGATGGCCACCGCCGATGAGGCGTAGTACGGTATAGAACAGCGACTTGTCACCGACGGTACTGGTGGGCAATCGTCCGAGATCGCGGTTTCAGGCATATCGGCCGTGTTCTCGTCGTAGTAATAGATGCCATCATAGAGGGCATAATATTGTAAACGTTCGATTTGGCCACTTATCGCTGTTTCTGATCTATTTTTTAGTGCAACTGATATGCTGGCAGCCATTTTATTCGTCGAGTCTTTCGCCAAGGTTGCTTCCAAACGGGCATCCAATCGATACTGGCCAGTCGCTGTTAGCGTGATATTGTGCAAACGTGGAGTTGAACTTACAATTGGAGAAACGTCCTCTTTATCTTGTATGAACTCATTGCAGGAGGCACAAATTCCATGTGCGATGTTATTACAGTAGCTATAACAGCATTCGGAAGGCCCATAGCTTGATTTACGCAATTGTTCACCAGTTTCTGGTATGCTCTGATCTGAAAGATAACTTTAAATTGGTAGCCCATGGAAAGCAAATAATTCACAGTCGACATTACCCAAACAAAGAAATGTTGGTTCGCCGGCGTATTGTGTAGGCAGCGCTGGAGCTCGATCAGCTGGGAGCAGATATGGGCACTTCTGCTCTACCGTTTGGCAGACACTTAGGCAGGGTCGTATTCTTCTACGCTTTCGGAATATCACCTTTCGTTTAGATCTAAAAATAAAAGTTATACGTATGTACTTAGAATTAAAATTTTTATATTAATGAAAATATTTTCATTTCCCATTTGCTTCCAGCAATTTTGTGAAAATATGATGTGCTATGGATAAAATTTATTACAATCACAACGTACCGTTTAATTATTTTTGATATCACTGGATCCTCATTATATGGATCCGCATTAATGGCAGTCGATATGAAGATATTAGATTGTTTAAGTTGTTGTGAACGCATTTCTTGCCCCTGTTGCGGTTGATGTTGGTGCCGGTTGCATTCGTCATCCATATTTCGTTTACTCCGTTTCCAAACCGTAGACGTGAGGTTTCTAATAGGTGCGACTATATTGTTGTCAATCGAAGATGTATTTAAAAATGCCAGATTTTGGTTCATTTGGCGTTTGGTTCGTTGTGCTGAACCCCTATTTGAATTTGCAAAGTCTTTCAATTCATTCTGGTAATTTAGTTTAGGAAGCAATAAACTAGTTTTATTTGTAGTAATGTCCTTAACAAAAGTTTGATTACTATTTTCTTTGTTCACTCTGTTACTTTTGCTGTTTCGATTATTGTTGTAACTTGGGGATACAGAAATGTCACCTTCTTCAGCAAAATATGGTACCAAGGTGCTACATACCCAACGCCGGTAAGACTCCTGTAATTTTATTAAATTAAGATATACATTTGTTTAATTTGTAACTTAACTTATAAATTATCACTCCATATATTAGATTAACGTATAAATTCAGTACCTATATTTCATATATATATATATATATTTGCTGTTGTCCTTAGTATAGGAAGAAATTAAAAGCTGATAGAGATTGAGACAATTGTGCACAGTTTGATCTGAACTGTTGAGTTGATGACCACTACAAGTTGGACCGAAACACGAACACAGGCACAGATACATACAAATATTTGTGGCATTTTTTTTAAACTCTTGCAACACGTTGCAACAGAATATAATAGTTTTGTTCACCTAACGGTTGTATGTATCACCTAAAACTAAGGTTGATAGATATATGTATATATATACATATATATATTGGCCCCAATATAACACACATATAACATCCGGGTGACTTCACTCCATATGATTGGCGATTGTAACTTAATGAACCTCAGAGAACATTTTATCAGTATGTGGCATATATGTATGTAAATATATGAATAATATGAGTATCGGCAAAAATAGATAAGATCGAGTTGATACTACATCCAACTCCCATATACTGCATACATATGTATGTATGTATAATAATTTTCGTTTTTCTAACAAACCTTTTGTCGAGTATGTCGGTAAGAGTATGTACATATACGGATATATATGTACATGTTTATAGCCTGAACAGAGCATATTAAGTTTGTAACTCCCAAAAGGAAACGTCGAAGACTCTATTAAATGTATATATTATATGTTGTATACATACATATATGTAGTATATAAATCAGCATGACGACCTGAGCTAGTTTGGCCATTCGCGAACGTGTTCCTAAGTTTTTGAGTTATCGATCTGAAATTTTGGAAACGTTCTTTTATACCCAAGAATCCGTTCCAGGCCGTTGATATCGCATCACCATAGCAAACTGAACAAGTAAAATTATGTTCTCCAATGGAAGCTGTATTTTTATACCCTGAACAGGGTATATTAAGTGGTCATGAAGTTTGTAACACCCAGAAGGAAGGGTCGGAGACCCTATAACGTATACATATAAATGATCACATATAGTCGCTGCTCATTTGTCGGAACTGCTGATTACTATAGCATATAGCTGCCATACAAACCGGACGATCGGAATCGAGGGCTTGTATGGAAAGCTTTCGCATTTCACGTGGTATCTTCACGAAATTTGGCATGGATTACTACTTAAGTTAACAATATAATCCCCAAAAAAATTGTTCAGAAAGAATTACTATGGCATATACATAGCTTCCATACAAACTGAACACATAGTTACTAACAGAAATACACCTGTGAAGGGTATTCGGTGCAACCGAAGTTAACGTTTTTTTTATGTTTTTCAAGACAACGCCATGGCCTCCAAACATACTTATAATTCAGATCGGACAAATATTGTATATACATATGTAGTGGCCATTCAAACCGACTGATCAAAAGCTAATTCTTATATGGAATCTTTTGTATTAGAGGTATTACACGTATTACATACATACATATGTATATAGATAAATACATAGAAGGGGGATTAATGAATATAACCAGGTAGGTATGAGTACATATGTATGTATGTACTATGGTACATAAGAGAACTTTAATTTTTCAATGAAATGCCATCAGAGAGGTCCGAAAACTAACATAGCACGTGTTAAGCAAGGTCTATATCTACGAGTATTGTATTTATGTATTCGAAAATACGAGTGCAGAATTTGGCGAAGACCAACCTTTATCCAAGTGAACTCTCAAATAGAATTGTATGAGAGGAAAATCTCTTCGTGATTAATGACACACGAAATTTGTGAAAGAATTTTTTCTCACTTGTTCTCATTAAAATATCGTGGCGAAGCATGCAGATGAATTGGAATTCAGCGCCCAAAGCTTCTGGCTCACTGGAATAAGCTCATACATTTGTGTGCATGTCGCGATGTGAGAGCTGTTGAGAGTGGAATAGGAACACGAAAATATACGAGTACTATCGCTGACAGTGAATGAAACGTAGCAAATGGAAAATGTTATGTTGTATTGAAAACGAAGAGTCTCTTTGCGCAATAAACGAAGGGAAATATTTCACTAGGGAAATCCAAAAATATTTACATATGTATAAAAATACACATAAAACCAAAATATACAAAAAAAATTCCACATCAAAATTCATAACGTTATGTGCTTAGTTATATGAATATCATAGGTAACATTATTAACCTTTATATAATAAAATCTAAAGTTATGTATAATATATCATACATACAAAAAAATCAAATCTGGGACTGTTATGACATTGAGATTCTAACTATTTATTTTCTGGAACCAAAATTACCTAAGATCTAATATCTAAACGAAGTTAGGTTATTTGCCCATCCAGATGTTCAGATTTTACTCTTTCTTAATTCTTTTTATGGAAATAATTTAAAAGCAAAGTATATGTCCTAGGGCGAAAGGCTCCAAAATGTAGTGTAGAAGGTGGAGAAAAGCGCGCTAAATTTTTATTAAAAACACAGTTCAAGTAATAAAAATTTAAATAAATAGTAATATTTTCATTTACAAATTATATGCGGTTTTTACGTGGCATATTTTTTAAGATATTTTCAGTATTATTTACGCAATATTTTCAAAGTATTAAAGGTGGTAGTAAATTAAGTGTAAACTCGATTTTGAAATCGTAATTAAGTTATCTTCAGAAAATATTTACATAAAATTTTTAGAAAATGTGAAGCTAAGAAGAAAACTTACCTTACAATCATCACATTGGTGAATTAATGAATACACTTGACGGCAATCGAAGCGAAAAAGAATTTCCGCTAGTTCACAAGTGATGCGAGTAGCCAATAGATCTAAGTCCATAACATCCATGAGAGTGCGAACGCATTCTACTCCACCACTTAGGGTTGCATTTAGAGCGAGAGTGTGTAGGGCGCTGAAGACATTGCGCTCACAACAATGCCGTAAACGTAGTGAACGCAGTCGATCCGCCAATTCGCCGGGCGATTTGAATGTACACAAGTGAGCCGGACTTGTATCCTCTGTATCGCCCAAGTAATCAAGGCACTGTTGTTCCTTCTGTTGCTGCGGTTGCTCTCTGTAATCGAAATATTCTTTATTTTCTTTGTTGTTGAATGCAAGGGCAGCATTTTTTTTGTATTTTAATCCAACTGGGTTATGGTCGGGATATTCATATGATGCTCCAGTTTCGCCCTCATTTGTATTACTTTTCACAAAATTCTCTCGTTTGCGGAAATTGGGTGGATGATCTTGAAACGAACTTGTTTGGATAGGTGAAGTAGAGAGCATTTGCTTTTCGGGCTCTTTCAATATTTTTGTGCTTATCGACATTTCGTCACCATAAGAAGTTTGATTGCTGTCGTTGCTATTCCATTTATTTAAGTCGCGACGAACTTTCATTATTGTTGCGGTATCCTTAAGGTTACCAATGGGTGTCTTAATATTTACTTTATAATTATTCATTACATTACTGTTACTATTATACGATTTAGTTTTCAATTTCGTCACTGTACTCATCTTTAATTTTTCACACGAAATTGGGCAAGTTGGAGGGCCGGGACCCTCATCAACCCATGCTACTGGTAATGTACCAGCGGAGCATTGACCCTGAAAATAAACATAAGGAAAATTATTTTAAAATTAAATTAAATAAAAATTATCTAGTTACAGTGTTTAGTAAGAAAGTATTTAATGTGGGTACATTGTATACCATTGCATCTTAATAAATACCCATACTTAAACATATGTATGTAGGTCAGTTTTGCCAAAAGCGTACATACATATGTTCGGCTGCACCGAAGCTAATATACCCTTCATATGTGTATTTCTTTAGTAACTATGTGTTTAGTTTGTATGGAAGCTATATCCTATAGTAACCCAATCTGAACAGTTTTTTCGGAGATTATGTTATTACCTTAAGCAAATGTTTTCCATACAAGCCCTTGATTCCGATCGTTCGGTTTGTATGGCAGCTATATGCTATAGTGACGGTTCGATGAATTATAAGTTTTACATATGTATCTTTATATCTAGAAATTTTCATATGTCAATGACTACCTTCGGATCTTTACGCTAGACGAAATTTCTTCAGTGCGGAGAAGTAGGCATGCCAGCGAGGCTGAAACACGTACTTTACTTCTGCTTGGCTTTTTCTAGAACTCGGCTTAGATAGGAGTTCTAGGACATTCGTAAATCTCAGTCTCTGTTAAATTTAGCAAACTTCTTGCACTACGTAAACTTCAGCTAGTGCCAATAATGAACTTCCATTTGGCACAGCAAAGGGCACGAAGGTCTATGTAACTCCCTCCGGCCAGCTGGTGTAACCCTACATAAAATTAAGAAAAGTCGTGCACCCCTGTAGGTTATATTTGAAACAATATTCCTTTAATTGGACACGTTACGATACATAGTCATGTTTTGTATGGAAGTTGCATTCTTTTAGTGCATCCTCTTCCCTGCTCATCAGGGAATAGGCACAAATAAGCGAAATGTTTGTAAAAAATTTTCTCCTTCCACGTACACGGCAAAGGAGTATTTACGTCCCACAAATCCGACAGAATTTTTCGTTTTTTTGACCCGGTTTTATGTTTCTTATATGTTCATATTGGTGTACCTACTTTCCATTTTATGATGGAAATTGTTCATATATATTTAATACTTGCATATATATTTATTCATATAGATAACATTCACATAAGCATATACTACTTCTATTCACGACTAAAATTTTAAGAGCCTATTAACCTTAATGATAAAGCAAGGATTAGGTACGCCGCAAATATTCAGTATTCTGGGTTTCCAAAAGTATGCAGTTTCGTTTATTCACATACTTACACATATGTATACATATGTATGTATGTTCTATGATGTCGCGTTACAAATAAATACAATAAATACGCCACATTTATTTCTCTCAGTAGGAGTGCGGCCAACGAGTCAATTTGACTCAATTGCAATTTTAGACTAAGTTGTACTCAGCAAATCGATATACATATACATATGTATCGGGAAGGTGATTGATGAATAAGAAGTAATATTAATTCTGACTTCCAGGTCTGGCTTTTAAACAAAGACGAGTAAATGTAAATATATTAAGAGATCGTCTCAGCGTTAAATTTTCAAGATATCGATTCTTTTTTTGTTGCATTATCGGAAATATTCCCTCAAATTTTGAAATCGAAATTCAAATTATTATGATACGTTACAGCGTTTTTTGTGGAAACATAGCGAACTCCAAACTAAACGCGTTTTTCTCAGAATGGTGTTCTTCGAAACGGTTTCCACTCTCAGAGGAAGAGATTTGAAGAAATCTAGTTTCAATTTAGATATAACATTTTTAATGTCATACGCTATCGCGCTATAGAAGCCTTTCTCTGATTTTATTTGAAAACTTCCTTTTTTTTCTACGAAAAACCACCGCAATTTTCTCAAATTTCAAAAAAAAAAAAATCCTCCATAGGCCGATAGCGATTTTCCTACAGATTAATAATCTCTTTGAAAGTTTTTTTTGACAGAAATTGTGGCCACAATCGTGAACAACGTACAGGACGTTTTTTACGTGTCATTTCAACAATTTATTTAACTATTTTACACACAATAAATAAACATAAAAAAATAATTATGTATTTGTCATAAATGTATTTATTTATAAAAAAGCGGACTGATTAGTTAATTTCATTCGTAGGGTCACACTGAGACGATCCCTTAATATAGCAAATTCTGTTGTTGGACTCATTTTGAAGTACAAGTCTCGATGTTGTAATGAAATTTAATTCACCTGACCCACCATTTAATATAAACCCGTTTTACAAAGGCTTGCAAATATCTCGCTTACCTTTAATTCTAACAAATATTTGGTAAAATTTGAACTTAGGCCTTTTTTTTGTGTCTTTTAATATATATGTATGTTCGTATATGAGCATGTGTATGCCCTTACGGCAGAATATTCACTTGTAGTGCTTTTGAGAGACAACTTTTTGAATGATGTTGGTGAAAATGCCTCGTTCACGTTACAGACATGACTGCCAACTTCTCTTACTGTTGGTATACATACTTACATATATGTATGAAAAGAGTAATAGCCGCTTCTTCATACAAATATGGCCGTCTATGTAAAAGACGCATGCAATTGCCTGTTTCACACGAACGTCAACATGTCACGAATGCCTCCTGAGGCTATCGTCACTTTTCTTGATTGTTGGCCCAAAACGTCACTTATGTCTCCTGAAATGACACTACTGTTGCACTTTCTAATATTTAAACGTTGGAATTTACTTGGCATTCAGCCAAACAAATTGTGGCTTTTGCAGGTAAAGGCTTAAAACAAGCAAAATTATCATTATTTAGTCGTAGTTTAAGAAATTTATTTTATATAAGAAATACATAAATAGTTGATATGCGATATAACAAATGTTATGTAATTATTTGGAAGTTTGATTTTGAATAGTAAATCAAATAAGTGCGCGCAAAGTTCAAATTACATTTATTTATTCCTTGAAAAGATAATATCTACAAAGTAAAGAAGTCTTTTTAGCATAGGAAAAATGGGTAAAATCAAATAATAACCAAGCCCACTCCCCATATAACGGTTATGTTGAAAACTACTGAAAAGACGATAAATACGTTACAAGCATTAAACTTAACAACCAAGATGGTAGGGAGGAGCTTTATACGAGCAGGTGTAAAAAGTGGACGAATCCGATTTCTACCAAATTGGGTAAGGTTATCCCAACAAATATGACACACTGTGGACGAAACCAGTTGCCAACCACGATTATTTCCCATATAACAAACTTTTAAATTCCATATAATTACTTCACTTCTCAGTATACAGATCGAACCTCAGTGAATTTATTAGAGTAAAACTCTACAATTCGAACGGGCTTATGCTCGTGTTTTAAAGGTATTTAATTCTGTACCCAAAAGTTGTTGAAATCGGACTAAAACTTTTTAAGGACGCAGACATCATATACACACATATGTATGTATGTATGTCGAAACCAGTAAATGTTGAAATTCGTGGAAAATATTATTGTGATAATACACAGGTGATGGTGTTAGTAAATATTTTCGAACTTCTGGCTGACTTTATACCGCATTTATCGGTCAATATACAAATAAGAAATCTTACCTAATTCCGAAATAATCTAGTGATTGCAGTATTTCCTTCTTTTAATTAAAATATACACGAAAATTCCGTATATCACTGTATGGTATTTAAAATATTAACAAATTGGATAAAACTTAGGCCAAGGGGTTGTCAATTTCGCCCAATAAAATAGTTCGTATTCTCATTAGACGCCTCTGGATCTATGTATGTATGTATTAAAGTTTTCTCATTCCCATTCCGTAACTACCAGCCAACAATACATAACTTACAATTTAAGTCAAAAGGTATTGAAACTAAATATTGCCCTCTTTTTATATTCTTACAACAAGTTGCTACAAAGTGTAATAGTTTCGTTCACCTAACAGTTGTACGTACATATAACCTTAAAGTAACCGATAAAATATATCATATAAATGATTAGGACGAGCTGAAATCCGGGTGACTGTCTGTCTGTTCGTTCATGAAAGCTGTAACTTGAATAAAAATTGAGATGTCTTTATGCAACTTGGTATAGACGTTCCTTAGTAAATACAAATTGCGAGTTCGTAGATGGGCGTAATCACACCATCGGATATGCAGTGACTCACACGACCAACCGAATGAACTCAGCTTTAGCTTTGGATGTAAGTTAATGCTATTGAAATAAAAATTTAGCTTAACTATTATATATCATTAAAAAGGAAATTTTATGCATTTTTTATTTTTTACATAACCCAGTATAAATTTAACTGCATATTTAACATAAACACAAAAAGTCCAATACACACTGCAAATTCATCTCATTCGACTAACCGGATAAAAACCAATAGAAGCCCACGGTAAAGTAACAGGACCTTTATTCCATTTAAAATTCTGTGAAAATGTGTAGTGCTAATTCTTACATTGAACCAGTTGTAAATTGCATTGCTTAATGTTTAGTTATATCAATTATATTCCCTTCACGTACTCAGACATCTATTGATATTAGAAATTTAATAATACCACTCCGAAAAGATGGAGAAAATATAAAAGAAATATCAGATATAGTAAAGCGAAGTACTTCCACTATCCCCGATATTGTAAGAAAGTTTCGGAAGGAAAATAGACTGTGTAACATATCCAGAAAAGGCCAAGGGAAAATATTAACAGAAAATGATAAGCGTTTCATATTGCGAATTATTAATAACAGTCCGGAGTCTACAGCAGCAACTATAAAAATTATAGTTGAAAAGGATCTATGCAAAAAAGTTTCAGCTGAAACTAGTCGACGAACACTTCGAAACAACAATTTGCATGGAAGGGCGATGGTAAAAAAGCCATAAATATCGGAAAAAATAAGAAAAAAGGACTTGAATTTGCTAAAGCGCACCTGAACAAATCCAAAGAGTTTTGGAATAGGGTAAGTTTCATAATTTTCATCGGATCTTGCTGAAAACAGTTTCAATGATAAATTTGTGCATGATTTAGGTACTTTTTACGGATGAAAGCAAATTCAATTTGCAAGGTTCCGATGGGCGCA